CCTTGGATAGGTCACAAAATATACCCAAAGCATCCTGTGAATTCTCCCATGCATTAAAGATATATTTAATCAGCTCAACACCGGCATCAGTTGTCGAGCGACCCCTTGTGAAACCAAATTGATTTTTATGAAGTAAATTATTTATATTAAAAAAATTTAACATTTGATCAAGAACAATTTTTTCAAAAATCTTACTAAGTGTTGGTAGTACAGAAATAGGTCTAAAATTGGCGGGGTCTAATGTACTACCAGATTTAAATAAAGGTATTACTTTACTATGCTCCATTAAATCAGGAAACACACCAGATTCGATACTAGTATTAAAAATAATAGCTAAATGAGGCGCGATTGTATCTATTATAGACGCAATAACTTTAACGGAAATCCCCCACAGATCCGCAGTTTTCTTAACATCAATAGTTTTAAAATATTTTACAATATCTTTTGATGACACTTTATGAAATGTAAAATTCTTTGTACACACATTTACATTTTGTTTAAGTAATGATTCGGCGACGGCAGGAGAAGAATTCAGTGACTTAGTGGTCAAGATCGGAATATCAGTAAAATATTTCTCAAAAACCATTGCTACGTCCTGATCTGATACAGTTAATTTGTTGTTAACACTTAACTGGTAATTTGAATTGTGAGAGTTGATCTTACCAGTTTCGCTATTAATTATACTCCATGTCATTTTAATTTTATTGGAAGCCGTCTTAATTTTGTTGCTCAAATGCAAAGACTTGGCTATGGAGCACACTCTTTTAAATATTTTTGAATATTTTTTTACATATTCCCTAAATTCGACGCTATGATTATATGACCTTTCATGGTAAAGATCATATAACCTATGCCTGCTCTTATGGACTCCTACTGTCGCCCATTCATTGAATGACTTCCGACTGTTCAAGGAGAATGTTTTAGAAGTAAAAGTATTATTAAATTCATTGCAAATAAGCTTAAATAATGTTCCATACAAATATTTTGGATCATTTTGGTATGAAAGTGATGGAAGTTTTTTCACTATGTTACTTCTAAATTTCTCCAAGCGACGTGCATTTACTGGAACAGACACAACTTTCTCATCTACTCGCTTTTTGTGAACATAAGGTAACGAAACTACTTGTCCACAGTGATCAGAACTTAATTTTTGAATTATACATTTATGCAACGGCTTCACATTTGTAAAAATGTTATCTATACATGTTGCACTAGATTGAGAAATACGCGTTGGCTCTATAAATAAATTAAAAAGACCATATGATTTAAACAATGATCTAAATTTAATATTGATGGAGAAAGCTTCTAGGAGATTGATATTAAAGTCTCCACATATTACAACAGATTTATTCTGTTTATTAAGCTTAGTAAAAACTTCCTCCATAATGTTTTCGAAAGTATCATATGTACAACATGGGGGTCTGTAGACGCTCACAACAATGAGGTGCTCAAACTCAACACATGCCATTTCTACAGTTCGCTCAACAGAGAGGCTCACAATGTCTTTACGTTCTTTACATGATAATAATTTACTAGCTAATATTAAGGAGCCACCTCTTAAAACCGTATCTCTATTGAAAGAACTGACCACCTGGTGATTACTGAAGTTAAACATTAAATTATAAGCTTTTAACCAATGTTCAGTAATACATAAGATATGAATATTGTTGCTATTTAAGAACAACTCAATTTCTAGTTCTTTGCCTATCATGCCTTGTATATTTTGATGCACCAGGTGTAAACAATTTTCATTATTACTCTGTGGAGTCATACAATTAAAGATTTGTTAGCTACATTCTAAATTATTTAAGTTATTATAACTGCTAGAGATTACCTCTATTGTCTCATTTTCTAATTTAAATTACTTGGAACTGATTCCAAATTGCATATTAAGTCATTCATTAACGATGCAAGGAACGCATTTTCAGTTATTTACATCGTATATTCAGTAGCGTTCTATTACTTACCATTTTAGTTTATTTAGAAGTAAGTAGATAGCGCTATTATTAGATGAAATAATGTATGAGAAAACTATACTATCTAGTAATATCAGCGATAGAAGCGAACATTTATTTATTATATCTATAAATTCTTTTTCTGTTAAAAATACGCTATCAGCGCCGCTAGCTGTGAAAAGCGATTTAATGAAATCGTTATAATTATAACCATATCATGAAATAGCAACGTTGTGATTGGTTATTAATATATTCAAACGGTTTCTATTCATTGATAAAGTCAAGCTATATCATGACATGGTCAACAAACAGTGTTAAATATCATGAAATGACCACACCATTTCACGAAATGATGGACTACTTTATGATATATGAACATATAAAAATCTCTTTAATAAAACTATAATGATAATGAAAATTTTGCAATAATTGCAGACAGACCGTTTCTAATCAGTTTACATATAGATTAGTAATTGAAATAAAAACCTTATCAATCTTCATATTTTGGATAGACGTCACTATTATCTATATACATAGATATATATTAAAAAAACTAAATGTTAGAATTTTTAAATATAATTTTATAAATCTAATTATTTAAACAACATATAAGTGATAGTTATTTATATTATTTCATTTATTAGTAACTGAAGGCAAAATATACCACTTTTTCCATTTGGTGATAGATGGCGCTATTTTGATAATTAAAGGGGTGTAGTTTCAAATTATTATACCAAGGATGTAACTATATTTTAAACTTTATTTATAAAGACGGTATTTATTTGAAAAACAACGGACATCCCGCCTATAATTAAGATATAATAGTAAAGTAACATCTAAACGAAGGAAAATATTTAACCTTCTTTTTTAGAAGTTCCGTAATCGGATAAAAAATAGCCTATAAGTTGCGCCGGTTTACTAACTACTTACATAAAAAAATTCATGTAAATCGGTCGAGTAGTTTTTGCGCGAATCCGCAATACACAGACAGACAGACAAAAATTCTAAGAACAACTAATTTGGCTTCAGAACCCTTTATTTTGTCCCCTGGACTTGTTTTTTTCAAGAATATTTTAGAATTACAGACACGACTTTTCTACAGATTTATTGTATGTATAGACATTACACAGATATTTCTGTCCTCCTAATAAAATAATTAAAATGTAGATTCGTTGTCACCCCTGGAGGATCAAATAGAATGCCTTTTTTCAGTAAAGTAATTTTCTCGCCTGTAAACCCTTCTCTGCCTAGTAGTCTAACTAGGTAGGCACCACTCTCTTCTCTATTACTGTCGACAAATAGCTGTGCTTGCACTGCTATGTTCTAGTCTAAAGGGAATTGAGAGAGGGAGAGCCAGTACAATGATGGCATCCATGACTTTTTTTCCACCAGGGCGGCGCCACTTTACAATCAGGTAAATCATTTGACAGATTTCATAGTGGGGAACTGGGGAAGATAATTCTTTAGAAAAATGGAAAGGTTAATGTGTCTTTATTGTTACTTATATTTTATTTTAATTACAATAAAAATAAATAAACCAAACTATAAATATAACTAAATGTAAAAAATAAAATAAAAGGAGTTATAAAGTACAAAAAATTAAAGATCAAATCACTGATGCATTGTGTTGTGTATTAATATAATACTCTAGAAACTGATAAACTATTATTTAAAACTAATTTCTCAATTAAGTACATTGTGTAACAGCAAGCCGAACAGAAAGGCCAGGTCAAGAGTACCCAAAACCGTAGAGCATGTATGAAGGGAATAATGAAAGTGGACGAAGCGAAACAAGTATGTAAGGATCGTAGCAAGTGGAAAGAAGTGATCTCTGCCTACCCCTACGGGAAAGAGGCGTGATTATATGTATGTCGCATCATGGGTGGCCGAGATGCGAAGCATCGGGTTTTCTTCACGCTCCGACATGATTTTATGTGAATGTGGGCACACCAACGAAAGATGATTTAAATCATCAAATAACTTTATTTGGACTAATGGTTGTACACGAGAAACAAACACGTGCGTCGGTAGCGAGCGTCCGCTCCGGCTGTCCGAACTCGACTGCCTCAACACTCGGTCCCTTCACTAGCCCTCGCTGCATCCCTTCTACCGACCATCGTGTCCAAGCGGTAGGGCGCGCTTGCGTTTCCGGTGACGATATTATTGATTCGTAAAGCTAATTGTTAGATGGCGCTGCTTGTAGCACTATGGCGCCATCAATCCACGACACGGCCATCCCTGACTAGCACCCGTCCTCGGGTGCAGTGCCTGTGGACAAAATATGCTCAGAGAATAACTTAGCTCGGCTATCCTGCCAATAAAACGAGGTGTATTCCAGATGGTACTTTATTTCTCCTAAATCCAAGTACAATAATCAACTACCATAATTGACAAAGCCCTATTATTAGGGCTTCTTACACAGTGCTTCCTGCACTACATGATTTATTGTGAAAGGTCCGATCAACAAGTTCCAACACAGCAATTCCAACAATTTTGTTACTCTTTACCATAATTCATAAGCAATGAATACTCAACTCGTGAAACTTTCATTGAAATCTGTGCACCAACACAGGCCAGAATCGCACCAACGATTCTTTACATATCTGCTGTCACATATGCGAGAATCGCACCAACGATTCTCCACATATCTGCCACCACATACGCCACAACACATGAGAGGCTCTGTGCACCAACACAGGCCAGAATCGCACCAACGATTCTTTACATATCTGCCGTCACATATGCGAGAATCGCACCAACGATTCTCCACATATCTGCCGCCACATACGCCACAACACATGAGAGGCTCTGTGCACCAACACAGGCCAGAATCGCACCAACGATTCTTTACATATCTGCCGCCACATATGCCAGAATGGCACCAACGATTCTCTACACATCTGCCGCCAAATATGCTACAACACACGAGGGGCTCTGTGTACCAACACAGACAGAAATCGCGCCAACGATTTCCTACAGACCCATCGCCACATGTTACTCATGAGGTGCGGTCTAAAGTTTCGAGTATGAGTATACATGCCATTCTTAATTAGATTTGGTTTCACTATCACTGTCATCAACTATGACGTCTAATTCTCGAGGAACTTGGTGATCGGGGACCTTCCTCACACGATCATGGGGGTATTTGTAGGTTCGCTTAGAGTCAAGCGCTTTTAGTAGGTATCTATCCCCATCTAACACATCGATAATCTTAAAAGGACCTTTAAACTTGGGATCTAATTTCGTTTGATTCCTCTCCTCATTTTCAATTAAAACGTAATCATTGATAGCTAACTTACAAACCCGAGCCTTATTTCGGTCAAATCGATTTTTATCATAATTGGCATCTTTTTTTATATTCTGTGTCGCGTGCTCTCTGATCTCATCCAAGTTAACTTCAGTCACATCATCATCATCAGCGGTCACTAAACTAAGCGGTCGTGCTACCCTTCCTATCATCAACTCTAGAGGGCTATATTTAGTCACCCTATTAACAGTAGAGTTCATAGCCAGCTGAACCTCTCCTAATGCGTCCTGCCAAGAGCGGTCACGACTAGCCTCTACCGCTGTTAACATACTCTTAAGCGTACTCATTACCCTCTCGACCTGACCATTTGCACGACTGCCTCCAGCAGCTATCAAGTGCAACTCTATGTTATTAGAAGTGCAGAAACTAGAAAAATCTTTGCTAGCGAAACAACGACCCTGATCTGCTATTATGCGTTTCGGTGCACCAAACAGAGCTATACAGAAATTAATAGCACGAATACTACTATTTGTGTCGATGTTTAGCGAATGACGAAGTAGCACAAATTTGGTAAACGCATCTAATATGACAAACACGTACTCCTTGATGTCGTTCTTCCCAGATAATTTACCAGAAGCGTCAATATGGATTGTGTGCCACGGGATATTGAACTTGGGAATCGGGTGCAGTTCTGCATGAACTTTGCCCGGGTGGGGCTTCGCTACTTTACATATGATGCAGTTGTCCATAAATTTCCTCACATATTTCGACATGCCTTCGAACCAGTAGTGCTCGTAAATCTTTTCGAAAGTTTTCTCCCATCCCAAGTGCATGACCGACTCATGGACGTTATTAATCACAGACCACCTAAGCGATCTAGGTACAATAGGCAGCCATCGAGTGCGACCGTTACGCTGAATTTGGCGGTATATAGAATGTTTTTACGAACTTCGTAGGTTTTGCGAGTTTCCTCAGGAAAAACTTCGTTACGAAGATCAGAAACGATCTTACTAATCTCTTGCAACCAGTTACTAGAAAGCTCAGCTAAATCAATACGCTTTTGTTCCACACGAGTGAAAGCCACTTTGGGCTTAGGGAGGGGATTTCTAGACAGGAAGTGTTACATGGCTCATCCTACTGCCTTCACGATGGATGATATCAAACTCAAATGACTGCATGTAGGCCCACCAACGATGAACTCGTGGAGACAAGTCGGTTTTGCTTTTAGAAGCTTTAACAGAACTGCAGTCTGTCACAACGGTAAACTTACGACCTAGCAAATAATGTCGAAAATGCTTTATGGCATTGAACACAGCTAACGTTTCTAACTCAAATGAATGAAACTTTGACTCGGCTGGGGAGGTAAGACGACTGTAATAAGCAACCACATGTTGTATCCCATTAATCTTTTGAATAAAAATAGCACCATATACTTCAGCACTAGCATCGGTGTGTAACTCTATTGGATGTGCAGGATCAAATATCGTTAGAATAGGCTTACTGGTTAAATAAGAAATAATTTTCTGACGAACAGCCTCATGGCTAGGTTCCCACTCAATGGACCTGTTCTTGCCACTCGTTAGACGAAATAGAGGAGCCATCGTTTTTGAGAACTGTGGCACAAATTGTCTGAAATAAGTGGCCAGCCCTATGAACTGTCTTAGCTGAGTGATGGTTTTAGGCGGAGGAAGTCTGGACAAGGCTGCAATTTTATTTGAGTTGGGACTGATTTGGCCGTTCTCAACAACAAAACCTAAATATTCTACCCGTCGCTTTAGAAAGGAACACTTAGCAAGATTTAGGGAGAAACAAGCTTTTGTTAATTTATCTAGCACAGTGCGAAGACGAAACAAATTATCTTCTACAGACGATCCTATTACTAAAATGTCATCGACGTATGTCACAGCATAGCTGTTAGCAAGATCGCCTAAAGCCTTCATCACTGCACGTTGATAAACTGAGCTGGCATTCTTCAAACCGAACGGCATGGTCAAATATTCCCACTGACCATCAGGTGTAACGAATGCAGTCCGCTCTATCGATTCAGGCTGCACTGGAATCTGGTGATAGCCTGACAACATATCGAGACACGTGAACCATGTAACACCACCTAACCTGGATACAAGGTCCTCTATCAACGGCAATGGAAACCTATTCGATACAGTGTTGTCGTTCAGTTCCCTGTAGTCGACACACATGCGATCTGAACCATCTTTCTTCTTGACAAGCAACACTGGACTAGAAAAGGGCGAACAACTTGGCCTAATGATACCTGCTTCCTCTAGTTCACGAACTTTAGCAGTAACAACTTCACGTTCATTTGCACTAAGCCTAGAAGGGCGACGTTTAACCGTTCGACTAGGATCTATAAGCCTAATTTGCAACTGTCCTGTCGTAACACGGGATTTAGGTACACCACTAGAAAACGAAGATGAATATTCTGACAAAAGATCCATTAATCGTGAACGAAATTCTGGCGGAACGTCTGTGTTAACTTTATTTGAATCAATTTGATAATTAGTATACGTCTTGGGCTTATTTGAAGCATCACATAATCTCACAACCATATCACGACACAAAACAACGCTATCAGACGTCATACTAACGTTGAACCCCTGATCTAAAATCTCGCGGCCGATTAAGACATCATTTTTAAGACAACTATCCGGTACAACATGAAATAATATCTCTAATCGTAAATCGTTAATAATAACTTCAGATAAAATTTGTAGGGTACTTTGCACACTAACGTGACCGATTCCGGTTAAATTTACAATATTATTTACTAGCTTTCCACTAAACTTTGACGCTACACAATCTTTGATCAGAGAGCATTCGGCACCAGAATCGTAGTAAAATGGGTATGACTCACCAGCATTCATCAGCACACCGTTGGGATTGCTGACATAACAGACGTCGACACGTTGCTCACTGGTCGCCGCTGTTGCAGGCGCTGCCCCAGGACTGCTCGATCCACCCGCCGCGGTAGTGCCCACACTATTGCTTCGTGGACATTTTGCTGCAAAATGTCCGGCGCTGCCGCATCGAAAGCAGATGATATCCAAACGCTGTTTTGGTCCTGAAGAACTTGACGCCGAGGTGGTGGTATTGGCTGTTTTGCCTTTCACCTCATTTCTTGATCGACAGTCAGATGCTCGATGACCTAGTTTACTACAGTTGTGACACTTCAGCATTGTCGACTGAAACTTGGATCGCTTGAACTCTGGAACGGCGTCGGTCGAGTTAGCCGTTGAAGCTTTCCTTTTCAAAAACGAGAGCGCTTGAAGTTCACACTGCAGCTTGTTCCTGTTGTCGACTTCGGTAGTAAACGCCAACCTCTGAATACGCCCATCAAATTGTGCCATGTGAGCAAGCACCGTAGATATGGCAATCTGCTTAGTACTCATGTTTTGCCAGCGTGATGTGAGTGTTGAAAGCAATCGGGCGGCGTACGCGACATAACATTCACCTTCCTTAGGCTTGCCACTCATCATTTTGACAAGAGTAGCGGCTGGTGTGTCCACACAATCGTACCGGGATAAAAACAGGCTTTTGAAGTCACACTATGTCATACCCGCAAACGACACTTGCGCCAGCCAACGTGAAGCACTACCTTTCAAAGCCTTGCTTAGGGTAATTATTAGAGCATTTCCCTGAAGCGGTACCTCCGATAGGCACAGATCCGCTGTAGTACACCCGGCACGTGCGTCTACATCCGACTTATCAGGGTCAAATCAGGCAGAGAAATATGCTTGGTACCTGCCGGGCCCTTGATGGCTTCTATCAAGGATATCATATTCTGGTTTTGAGCAGCCAGCAGTGCCCGAAGCATGTTCTCGTTGCACCGTGACGACATCGCTCCAGTCTCCGTGTTTTCTTCAACTCGGGTGTATCCCACTTCTGATGTCGCATCATGGGTGGCCGAGATGCGAAGCATCGGGTTTTCTTCACGCTCCGACATGATTTTATGTGAATGTGGGCACACCAACGAAAGATGATTTAAATCAAAATAACTTTATTTGGACTAATGGTTGTACACGAGAAACAACTACGTGCGTCGGTAGAGAGCGTCCGCTCCGGCTGTCCGAACTCGACTGCCTCAACACTCGGTCCCTTCACTAGCCCTCGCTGCATCCCTTCTACCGACGATCGTGTCCAAGCGGTAGGGCGCGCTTGCGTTTCCGGTGACGATATTATTGATTCGTAAAGCTAATTGTTAGATGGCGCTGCTTGTAGCACTTTGGCGCCATCAATCCACTACATGTATGTATGTATGTAACAGAAAACTTTACCTCAGTCACAATTAGCGACATCTGGTGAGTGTAAGATTATATTATTAGCCCTCATTAAAATAAAATATAAACAGCTGTGCGGTATTCCATCTTAGCCCTCAGTTTGTGTATATCTTTGAATTGCTACTGTAGCTACTTACCACCAGTTAGACAGTAAGATCGTTTGTAACTTCAATTTTATAAAAAACAAATAATTTCTGGTTCACATCACTCACCACAAGAAACAGAAACAGAAACTTTTTCATTCAATATAGATTATAAATAATACTTATTGAAAGTCAGTCTTTTGTTTCATTACTACTGGTTCGAAAAAAAAACCTCTGCCCCGGGAAAAACCAGCAACAACCCCAGCGAGACTTTTTTTTAAATGATTTTTACATGTTGCTAAATTAACAACACAACAAATTAGAAATAGCCTGATAGCGATCACCTCATTCCCAGGGGTTATACATACATACATATAATCACGCCTCTTTCCCGTAGGGGTAGGCAGAGACCAGTTCTTTCCACTTGCTACGATCCTTACATACTTGTTTTGCTTCGTCCACTTTCATTATTCCCTTCATACATGCTCTACGGTTTAGGGTACTCTTGACCTGGCCTTTTTTCAAGACGTCCCTGATTTGGTCTAGAAATGTCCGCCTAGGTCTACCCCTTCCAACACTTTCATTCACACTCGCCTTATACACTTTTTTCGTCAATCGTTCTTCATTCATTCTCTCGACATGGCCAAACCATCTCAGCATACCTTTCTCAATTTTTGTCACTACATCTTCTTTCAGACCACAACGTTTCCTTACCTCACTATTTCTTAGCCTGTCACTCAGTTTAACTCCTATCATACTTCTTAATGCTCTCATCTCAACTGCATTTATTCTGCTTTCATGTTTCTTCTGCCATACCCAAGTTTCACTTCCGTACATGAGTGTCGGAACCAACACCCCCTCATGCACAGCCAAACGAGCCTTGTTAGACACCTTCCGACTGCTCATAAAGGAGTGCAAAGCTCCATTCACCATGTTTCCTGCATTCACTCTTCTTTCGATATCACTCTCACACTTTCCATCTCTTGTAAACTTTGAACCCAGATACACAAACTCTTTCACCTGTTCAATTTGCTCATCTTCAATCACGATATTGCAGTCTGTCACTGCCTCATCTTTTTCAAACACCATCACTTTCGTCTTCCTTACATTCATCTTCATTCCCTTTCTAACAAAAGCTCCACTCATAGCAGTTACCATCTCCTGCAACTCCTCGGCCGAAGACGCAAGTAATACTTGGTCATCAGCATAGAGAAAACATTTGACGAGTAACTCATTCATTCTCAACCCACTTTCATTCTCTTTTAAATCTGTTAAACAATTGTCCATGAACAGATTAAACAGCCACGGTGACGCTACACATCCCTGTCTAACACCTTTTTCGATATTAAACCATTCAGTGTATGCCCCGTTTATCCTTACACAAGCACTAGAATCCCTATAAAGAGATTGCATTGCTCGTATGAGGATACTGCTCACACCGTTCACGGACAGTGC